CCTGCTGGAAGGCTCCTCAAGCAGATACTCTTAACGGCTGCTCTAATTTTCAGCCTGAATTTCTTTGTGGTCATTTTATATACCGTGCCATTCTTTTGTCAGCACTGGCCTTTGGCTGAACCAGCTCTTCTTCCCATTTCCCATCCCAATGTATTTATACATCGCGATCGCGGCCATCCCCAGCCTCTGCTTTGCTAGCCAAAGCAAGGTTCCTCCAGTTCTCTCTTGCGTGACAGGCTCTTCCTCCCTGCTTTAGCTAGTAGCCCCTTCCCCGCTCCAGTCCAGGCTCATCTCATGGTCCCTGGACGCAGGAGACCTGAGGGAACGATTCTGATGGGTCCCACTCCATCTCTGAATGATGCTACTGAGACTTTGCCATCCTGCGTGCAAACCTCCCTGCTCTTCCAGTGCACCGCTGGCCTGCGGTCACCCTGCGCTCACTCGCTCATCCCATCCTCCTCCACACTGTTGCTTCCCAATCAGCAAGACTTGGGTTCCTAGGAGATATCCTTACCTTTCCTCAACAAGCACACGGCTTTCCGTTTCTCACTGCATCCCACATCTCTTCCTCCAGCCCCCAAACTCCTTCAGCCCGGGGTGGCAGCCTCCATCCCCCCGGCTCCGGGAAGCCAGCCTAAGCTGGAAGCAGGAAAGCCCATGACTCATCCCCGAGGAGCCCCGCCGGTCACCACCAGCCACTACGTCCCCTCAACACCACCCAGCGCCATCCCGACGCTGCTCGCCTCCCTGCCAGCCTCGCAGAGCTCCTCTTCTCCTTCCCCTCTTCTCCACTTCATTAACACTTCCCCATAGCAAGAGCTTTACTACAAAGAGCAGCTCTACACGTTTCCAGGTCTCCGATGCCAGGTTAGCCTGGAGTGACCTACCTTTGGCAAACCCATGATTCATTTTCCTCTTTTGCCTTCCAAATCTGTTCCGAAATGGCATGCGATCGAGGTCAGGCTTACAGTCCTATTCCTGCCTGCCTTACTTTTTTTCCCCTCCTCCCCCCGCTTTTAAATATAGGCATCGCATTCGCTATTCTCCAGTCAGATGGTGCCTCCCCCAACTCGATGGAGTTGTTAAAAATACTTGTTACCAGACCTGCCATTTCATGTGCCAGCTCCCTCCAAGCACGGCGAGGGGGGGAAGCCATCCTGAGTGCCGGTCTGATGGGTGCGATGATCTTGGCGCTTGGCTTCCACATGGGCTGTACTCATGCCCATGTTCTCATTCTCACTATCCATCCCTTTTTGTTGACTCTGTCATGGTGTTGACCAAAAGCCAGGGTGAAATATCCATCTGTGCCCAAATCTCCCCAGCTGTCGCTTCACCAGGCCTTGCTTCGATCTGCAGAGGTGGGGGAACCGCTCGCAACCCCTTTGAGCATCCTTCACGAGGTCCGTGTCGGTGTGACTTTTAGCAGCTCCCGTAGCACTTCCCAACTTCTTTGGTGCCAGGATGTAGTTGTCTTGACTGAGCATCCCCTTTTCCCATCCCTTTGGGGGATTGTTTGTTCTTAATATCCCTCCATAGGCAGTGGTTCATCGCCTTGGTCCACTGTGCCTTCCCACTGGGTTTTTTTCCCCCTTTTGCTGAAGGTACCAGCAGGTCATCATGTGCAGAGGTCAGGGTAGACACAGGGAGCTTAATCCCCAAATAACACAAACACTGTAACTTCGTTAATGAAGACATCCCTGGCTCCTGCCCCGGCTCCCTGTGCAGCAGACCAGGTCCCATCGCTCAGCCAAGCCCTTTGAGAAACGGAGGAGCTGCCTGACAGCTGATCTGTGCTGCTTCTTCCCTTTAAGACAACCACCTTTTCGACATGCACCCCCCACCAGCCTAAACCACCACCACCTAAGCTCTCCCACGGCCTTCAGACCAAGAAATGTGTTTGCTGCTGCCTCCAGGCACACCCGAGACACCAACACAACCGGTGTGAGCTCGATGGTGAAGTCTAAGGAGCCACAGCT